CCTATCTTCATATGACTCGCCGAGTCGACTATGCGACTCGCCGAGTCCCTTCAGTCCTTCATCCATACAGATGTTTTTTAAGCCATGCTAAGACTCCATACTGCAGATCCAACTTCCCAAGGCATGCTTATCACGTAAAGTTGCAAACTTTACGTGCATGCAAGGCTCTAATGACTCATAATGCCAAATCCAAGCTTGAAATGTGGTTTTACACTTAAGGAGGGGTTCATACTTGCCAAAGCTGATAGCTTTATGGACTTACAAATCAAAGAGAGTTCAGATCTGAAGTTACAACTTTAGATCTGAGCTCATACCAAAAAAATAGCTTCATAACCAAACCAAGAAGCCCTAATTTCATCCAAAGAGATCTAGAATGAAATGGAGTTGGGATAACAACTTAATACCTTCCCAAAAGATGCCAACTGAAGTAAATCTTGATCCCCACGAATTCCTTGCTTCAATCCACTTGTTTCTCCCAAGCTCTTCTCACCAAGAATCCTCTTCCAAAGCTTAAAAACACACAATGGGGCACACACACACGTATTAGGGTTTGATAAGCTATCAAGGGACTGTAAAGAGGCTGAAGGTGGCTTATGATTCTTTAAATAGGGTGCCAAACCCAGGAAATTAGGGTTTTACCTTCCAGCTCCTACTCGTCGAGTCCCTTCTTGGACTCGGCGAGTAGGTCACTTAAACTCGCGGACCAACCCGCTGTTACTCGGCGAGTCAGACCACCAACTCGTCGAGTAGACCTTGAAATCATGAGAATTTATATCCATAAATTGATACTCGGGAATCGGGGCGTTACACCCCAAGTTGACTCAACTCGCCGAGTGGCTCATTCAACTCGTCGAGTATAAAAACTCAGAACACTGAAATCCTGAAGCCACTCGCCGAGTCAGCTCCTACCTCGCCGAGTTCCCTGGCTAAACAGACTCGCGGTTCATCAAATCAACTCATCGAGTCAATTCGCAGACTCGCCGAGTTCTAGCTTGAACAAAAACGGGACAATACACTTCGACTCGTCGAGTCCTTCCTTGGACTCGCCGAGTCCCTCAGCTTGATTGGGCCATCTTAACAGTTTAAGCCCCTACACTTCGGATCTGATCTCCGAACTTCATAAACACTCTGGAAATGACTTATTAAGGGTAAAGTTTCCAGATTTACCCATCCCAAGTCCTTCTTAATGGGTTTAGACAAAACTATAGCTCATTAAGACATAACTCCATGGTCCAAAACCCTTATTACACCAAACCAAGGCAGGGAAAACAAGATCTAGACTCTAGACATCCAATAACCACGTAAAGTTCTGGGCTTTACTTCCTTGCATGGCCTTTAGGGCTCCAAAAGGCCATAATAATCTCTTTAAGCTTGCACGAGACTTCCTAATGGCATAAAGCTTGCACCTTTATGCCTTAACCACCCCAATTACTTACAGATCTGAAACGATCATGCTTGGGGGACGTCCAAAACCCAAAGACAACCATTCTTGGACCAAAAACCTTCCAAAAAAGGACTATAAGGAGATCTAATAAACCAAAAGCCAAGATGAAGACTTGATTACCAAGAAATGCAGCAAATGGAGTGTGTCTTCTGGATCTACTTCCTCCTTCTTGAACCTCCAACCTCCTTCTTCTTCCTCTTCCTCTTCAAGGGCACACAAATCACACCAAGGTGGCTCAAACATTCACAAGATGCACTAGGTTTTCGTGGGTGAGGGTTTGGGGTCTAGGGGCTGAAGATGAGGCTGAGGGAATAAGAATATGATGCTTAAATAGGGCACCAAGTCCCGAAATTAGGGTTTCCCAACCCAGACCAGACTCGCCGAGTCAGTCCCCCGACTCGCCGAGTCGGCCACTTAATCCGTGACACGGAACTCGCTCCGAATCGTCGAGTTCTTCCTTGGACTAGACGAGTTGACTCGTTGAATTAGGGTTTTTTCCTTTCCTTTCTTGACCTTCTGAATTTGGGGTGTTATACTTTGGATCAAATTCATTCAACGACTGTGAATAGTAGAGAGACAATGATTTTGTAACCACTCGTAACTTCCCAACTACGTATCTAATCTTGATAATTGATTTAGATTTCATGAATCCCATCTTCATCCTTCTTCATATGTCGTATTGTTTGATAAGCCTCCCAACTTTATCATTTGTCACTTTCTCCTCTAACTTTTATTAATCTTTCGGTGTTTATGTGAATGGATTTCGAGAGCGATATTTATGTGAATATTAATCTTTCATTCTTTAACCATCATGTAGGTCATCTAACGATAGATGAGAGCAAGATAAAACTCTCTATAAAAGAGGCATTGATTTCAAATCTTGCCAAGTTCCATTCCAAAAGCGTCCATAACTTGAAAATAAAGACTCAACAGTGGGCAACACGTGTTAATATTTTTTTTTTGAAATTTTGTCAAATTTTCAATTGTTAATGTTTGTTTATTATTATTATTATATATATATTTTTTTGTTGTTGTTGTTTTTTTTTGTTGAATTGACGAATATGATGATTTGGTTAATTCCATTTGAAATGTTTTTCAATTGTTTATGTTTATTTAGCTTCTAAAGAAGAATAAGATTACTTTGACTAATCATTCAATCTACAAAACAATTAGCGTTTACTTTATACATTAATAATTCAAAGTTTTATCATATCATAAGTGTTGTTTGTTTTTTGTCTGTAGATTTTTTTGGCCTCTTCTGCCTGCGTTGCGCAAACCACACGCAGACATTAGGCTTCACAGACTCTTTGTTTTTTTGAAGACTGCAGACCTAAAAAGGTCTGCGCGCCATTTTCTTAGCGCAGATGTGGACCAGAGTTTTTAGTCATCTTCTAGCCTAAAAAACACATATATCTTAGTTTTTTTTTAGTTTTTTTTTTAACTTAGATTTATTCCAACTTTATTTATATAAACAATTTGGAAAAAAAATTACAATACTTAAGAAAAAAGGTTCGACGATACAATCATGACTTTTGTGACAAATTTATAAATAAAGATTTAATTACAATAATAGTCGTTGGAGCTGTTTATATAGATATGAAAAGAAAAAAAATCGTAATATTATCTTATATTTATTTAATGCAATATCATTCATTTCTTGGGATAAAAATTTATGCCCAGTTTTTAATTGATTTAATTGAAAATGTTAAATGAAAATTTTGAAAATTTCATTTAAAATCAAAGTTTATTCCATCCATTTTACATGTTAAATTATTTTATCCTTAATTACAATATTTAGGTATATCTTTGCAACCAAAGTTTGTTGGTTTTTATCAAATATATACGTTAATTCGTACCATTTTATTTTCACTTTTTATATAATAATACATAAAAGTTGATCTATATTTGTCAATTATCTATAATAAAATCATAAAATTATTGAAAAACTCTTTTAAGTTTTAAAAAAAATCGGTTTATTTAGATTTTAGTTTATTCTAGCAGTCTGCAGATGTTAAAAAACAAACAGTCTTCTTTTTTCAGACTGCAGACGTTTTGTCCACATTTTCTACTGCAGATGTCAACAAATGTGGTCCGTAGACTTAGGTTTTGTTTGTTTTTTCTGAGGCAAAATGTCTGCAGTCTGCAGACCACATCCGTAGACCTCTGCAGTAGAAGAGGTGGACCAAACGTCTGCAGTCTGAAAAAAGAAGACTGTTTGATTTTTAACATCTGCGGGCTACTAAAATAAACTGGTTTTTTAAACTTCAAAGTGATTTTTTAATATTTTTATGACTTTGTTATAAATAATTAACGAATCTAGATCAACTTTTATGTATTATTGTATAAAAAATAAAAATAAAAATGGTATGAATTAACGTATATATTTGATAAAAACCAACAACTTTGGTTGCAAAGTTATAACTAAACATTATAATTAGTGATCAAAGAATTTGATACATAAATGGATGAAAATAAACTTTGATTTTTTCAATTAAATCCATTAAAAACGTACCATAAATATTTTATCGAGAAATTGACGATACTTTATTAAATAATGTTTTACAAAATTTGGCAAAAAAATATAAGAATATATTATGATGTTTTTTTTCATATTTATATAAACAACTTCAACGACTATTATTGTAATAAATCTTTATTTATAAATTTGTCAAAAATATCATGTTTGTATCGTCGAATTTTTTTTTTTTAAGTTTTGTAATTTTTTTTTCAAATTGTTTATCATTAATAAAGTTGGAAAAAATATAAATTAAAAAAAAAACTTAAAAAAAATAAAGATATATATGTTTTTTTAGTCTAGAAGATGTCTGAAGATGTTAGAAGACTCTGGTCCACATCTGCGCCAAGAAGAGGACGCGCAGACAGTTTTAGGTCTGCAGTCTTCAGAAAAACAAACAGTCTGCAAAGGCTAATGTCTGCGCGGCGCAGACAGAAGTGGCCACGCAGATCTGCAGAGGAAAAACAAACACTACCTTATACATTTTGCTCAGAAAAACAAACAGTACCATAGTCATAGTAAATTAATATAGAAAAAAAAAATTGTGGATCAAAAACCAATTATGAAAAAGGAACGTGAAAAAAAAAAGATGTCGGTGGAAGACACAAGTAAAATGCCCAAACTCGTCAGCTCTTGGGTCAAAGAAGAAAATCAGAGTTTGCACGAGCGGACGACTGCTCTACTACCCACCCCCTCCACGAAGTTCAAGCCGACGAGGGTTTCTCGCCCACCGTTTCATTTCTCTATTAACTCCGGCGTATATCGCCGCTGCTGTACTTTCCCTTCACGGAGGAGAAGCCGACGGGGTTTTCTCACCCACGGAATCCATTTTCGATTAACTCAGGTATCTATCTCTGCTTTTCGTTCGCCAAATCATTCTCTAGATTCTAGATCTTCACATGTATGATCCCTTTTTTTTTTCGGTCTACTTTTTGTTATTTGCTTTTCATAAACATCAGATTTTACTAAATACTACTTGGTTTCTTTTTTCTTCGTACGGACGATGCTTTTTCTCCTGTGTATGCGTATGTGTATTCTTCGTAAGCACGAATGTACTTAACGATTCCCCCCTGATTCTTGATTCTTCTTTTTTCTGTGCGAGCGAGGATTTGCCTTTGCTCACCTTTACGAACCCTAATTTGATTCGATTAAAGCGTTTTAGTTAATTTGGCGCTGTTAGGGTTTACAATTTTTCTATTTGTCCGTTCTTCTCCAGCTAGGGTTGAAATAGTCACGTATTCTTCCTTATATACATAACAATAAGGGCTCATTTCTTCTCTTTGTTACACTTTTTTACAATACAAAGAAGTGGATTCATTACAGATTTCTGCAGTTTCAAATTTATACGTTTTACTCAACCAAATCGTGAAACAATTCATAAATTGGTAACAAATTGAACCATGACTGCATAAATTGGTAAGAGATCTTTGCAGAAATTGAAGAATTTTTTTTCACTGCTATGTGGATTGGCAACTAATTACTCAACGAACTTAGAACACACACTGTGAACTGCTATTGATCTAATGCACAGCTTTTCTACAAACTGCAGGAGTGAATTTCTGAATTTCTTTTCAGAAAACAATGGATACCAAGGCCAATGTGGATCAATTAGGGGTCGTTGAAAATATTTCTTGCAACAAATTGGATAAGAATTCTTCTGTTGACATCATTCCTCCCTCTTCTCCATCATCAATGCTTGATAATAATGGTGGGTTTGCTCCAAGTCCCATAACCCCAGATTCTAATAAAGAAAGTGCAGACTTGATGTCTGCTTTTACATCTCCATTAACAATAGTATCCTCACCTCCCGCCACATACCACAGTGGTGGTGATAGTGATATGAATGAAGAAGATGACAGCCCCTGTACCCCAAAAGAGGGTGTATTTGACCCATTTGCCCCTGGTCCCGACAAGCTCATGAATGCTCCTCTTTCCATGAAACATGTTGAAGAATCACAGAGTTATGTTGCAAGGAGGCTTAATTTTAATTCTCAAATGACAAAAAAAGATTGTGAAAATGAAAAACGTGAATCTGTTTCTGAAAGTTCTTTTGAGGATAAACAGTTGTTGGAAGCTGTTTATGATTCCCTATTGGAAGCCATTATTTCTAAGCAGTCAGAGGATATTCTTGCTGAGATGACAGCTGCAGCTTACTCAAGTTGTGATGGACTGGAAACACCTCCTTCTGCTCCACGTGTCACTGGTATTGCTGACACGTGTCCTGGTGCTCCTATGAAGGCTGTGAAGAAATCAAGAAACATTGACCTCAGTTTGTGCAGGAGGCTTGATTTTGACTTTTGATAAGTATGAACATAATATGAATGGTGGATTGGTGTCTCATATGATAATTAAAGGCTAACCTTGTTTTGCTTCTAGAATTAGTTTACAATTTATGGGTAGAAGGGCTGAAGCCTTTTTTTTTAAACAACTATTCTGATAATATTATTTGTACTGTTTAGTATTATTCATTTGTCTTGGAAAATTGCTACTGAATTGCTTGCAGAAGTTTGCTAGAAATGTTGAAAATTTGAAATTCTGTATGAATTGTGCGATTTCAAATGGTGTTTGTTTTTTTAGTTTACTTTTTTGTAGATGAGCAGTTTTGAATGTTTTTATTAGACATTGGTGTTGTATGTCTTTTTACCAACAAATCTATTTTAAAATACTTTTTTTTTTGACAATGTATATGTTTTCTTTAAACTTGCCTTTAATTTGTTGTTCTTTTGAAGCTTTTGTAGTAATATTATCAAAATATAGCATTTCGTCATAAAATAAAACATTCAAGTCGATGTACAGTAATAGAAAATGAAGTAATTTTTAACCTACAAAGTTACATGAGGAAACACTTTTGAACAATCCCTTTCGATTTTCTACAAACTTACATGGCAAAGATAGATGATGACGCCATGGAAAACCTTGTCAACTCATCATCCGATCACAAGTCACCATTTAATGTCCACCCGATTGATTATCCACCATAGATGCATAGATGCACATGAACCAAAATTGGGATATTAATTCATTATAAGTAGTATGTTTGCGTTCTCCTATCCTATATGTTAGTCTTCATATTAAACACATAGAGTAATGACAAGATGGGAAGACAGAACACAATTAATCGGTATCTACTAAGGAACGACATAGTCAAAATGTGTTGTTGTATTGAAATACAATTGAAACAAGATGATAACGAATGACTGGAAATTGGTAGGAGACCATGAATCAAATTGCAGTAATTGGACAAATACGTAAACGTATAATCTACAAACCCTTACATAGTTGGACATAGATGAATTTGCTCTACTCCTTAGCAATGAAAGTCTATGAGTGCATGATTTAATGAAACATCAGGAATGTTGAAAACAATAATCCTCGTGAATAAATAGGTGTGAGTGTATTCTTAGAGATTACTATTTGGTGAAGACAGTTGAATTATTTTAATTATCTTTTCAAATCAAATGTGTCATTATGAGTTCGCTTATAATATTTTGCGAGGATTGTGGTTATTTTGTTAAAATCCGTAAAGGGTGGTCGTGTGGAGGCTTCTACTTTATATGGTCATTTTAGTGAATAACTCTTTTAAAATTCTAAATAAGTTTGAAAAAGATGATATACTTAGAATAAATATTTGCATAATTTTTTATACAATTTCTAGTACAAAAAATAATGTTATGGTTGAGAATTATCTAAAGAAAGTCATCTTTTTATCACCTCTTTTATGCATTAGCTGCATAAATGAGACACAATATTAAGTTTGTGAAACATAAAATTTAGCCATTAGACCATCGAAATATAAAACAATGTCCATATTTAGCCAAATATGCACCAAGTCCGGATGCAACGATAAAACATCCATGGTAAAAATTATAGAAGTTAATTAAAAAGAAATCCTATTTTTATTAAAATATTCTTTGTTGGTTTATATATATCATGTATTTGTACTTGTAATATAATAAACTAGGAATATTTTGAGAACAACAATACAAAAACTAAAGCTAAATTCTAATTATTTTCTTCTAGAAATGGAATTTAGTTGGTATATTTTTAAATTATACGTCTCATTTTATAGTAATTTCAAGAAAATTTGAGTTGGAGTTGTTTTCAACTTTGGCTAGTAGGTTGCACTCCATTTCTCTAATCCATGTGCAAATCCCTCTCTTTTTCCACATAACAATTTATAATTCGTATTTAAATAAGAAACGGCTAAAAGCGTGTATTACATGGATTATTAAAAACTTCCTAAAAATTTATTTAGAGACTAATAACTTATATGAATAAATAATAATAGAGATTTTCTAAGAAAAACTTAATAATATATATATTTATGATGCGACTTTAATCTCATTGCTTCTTTAACAAAACAATTACCTTTTATTTTAAGTATATGTACATAAAAATGGAAAACCGTCATATATTAATTAGGTAAACATACCATTCATGGTAGACTAAAATCTTATTGACATGAGAAAATAAGAAGTCTTATTTCCTCAGTTTGACTAGCGAAGAAAATGATTCTTGACCCATCATAGCAAATAGAATCAAGTCTTAGAACATGTCAATATTATTATTATACGAATCATCT